AAAAAAAAAAAAAAAATAAATAAATAAATTAAATTGCTGGTCTGTTTTTTTCCCTCTTATGTGAAATTTCTTTTTTTTTATCATACTTTTATAGTATAGTTAATATTATTATAACCTTGTAAGATATTTACTGGATTCTAGAAAATTTGGAACACACAGATTCATGTAAAAATTGAAGCAAAAATTACTTGTAATTTCCTTATTTAGATGTAATCAATCTTTTCACATATTCTTCCAGGTTTTTTTTTTTTTTTTTTATAAAATTGAGTAGTGATATCAGCTCAGTTTTGTATTCTTTGGTACTTAACATTTCATAAGTACTTTTCCGTGTCATTAAACATCTTTGGGAAACATTGTTTTTAGCGACATCTTAATATTCTCTCAGTGGCATGTCACTGAATTTACCTAACCATTTATTTTTTATTTTTTATTTTTACTTGTTGGCGGCTGGCCAGTTTAGGGATCTGAACCCTTGACCTTGGTGTTATAACAGCATGCTCTAACCAAGTGAGCTAACTGGTCAGCCCATAACCATTTATTAATTATTGGATAGTTTGTCTTTTTACAACATCTGCTATTTTATATAATGTTCCAATGACCATTCTAATACTTAAAACTTATTTCAATTATTTTCTTAAGATAGTCATCAAAAGGATATTACTGGGTCAAAGAATATGAACATTTTTAAGACTCTTGATTCATATTGGTAAAAGGCCTTCTAATAATGTATGAGATTATCTGTTTTTTTTTTATTTTGGACCGGTAAGGGGATCGCAACCCTTGGCATGGTGTGGTCTGCATCATGCTCAGCCAGTGAGTGCACCGGCCATCCCTATATAGGATCCAAACCCACGGCCTCGGTGCTACCAGCGCCGCACTCTCCTGAGTGAGCCACGGGGCTGGCCCATGAGATTATCTGTTTTATACTATTCTCACCTGCATTTAGGATTTTTAAGAAATCTCTAGTTAGAAGTACAAAAAATGAAATTTTATTGTTTTAATATTCATTTATTACAAAGTATGAACTTTTTATGGTAAGTAGATTAACTGTAAAAAATTAAATTCACAGAATCACTTGGAAAAGGATAAAATGAGTACATTTGACATTCTTGGAATAGAGAATATGGAGAGAGAGAACTCAAAAGCTGAAACTGTATCTAAGTAAGTATTTAGGAAGTAGTAGAGAAATTGTAACTCTTGGGAATGATTGTAATAACTTGTTTTCTACTTGATAAAATCTGAATTTTATTTTCAGCTAGTGTACTTTAAGTCCATTTTGAACTATAGGTGGTGTTGAAACATTTTAATACTCTCTGTGCTTGTTATTGTAGATATAAATTGTGTGAGCCCATTTATAGCAATTACATTTCTCCCTCAACTTACTAATAAGATTTTAACAAACTCTTACTAAATAAACGAATGGTTATGGTGAATGTTTCTGGATAATTTTATTTGTAGCAGGGGATTTCAAAAGGGTTTTAACTTGAAATGGAGCTCTAGAACAGGCTTCACTCAAGGTGAATCTGACCAATGGATTCTGGGCCATTCCAGGGGCATTGTTTATACCATAACTTTGGACTAATTCCCTGGAGTTGTACATTATGCAGTAGTATCCTGAATGAGGAATAGTATCATAACCTTGTCAAATGTAGATTTTTCCAATTTTCAATGAAAATTTGACTTAAAAATGCTTTTTCTGGTCATGCTTCCAAGATTATATCTGTTCCAGAGAATAGGTGTAAAGTTATGAATATCTTTAAAGATGTTCTTGAGGATACTTGTGAATTATTTTGTCTTCCAAATGGTTTATATTCATACCAGAGAGAAGGAAATACTGAAAAACAAGCAAGTTTGTGACTGCAGAATAAACATTGATTTTACTCCTTTGTGGTTTTTCTAGTTTGAGTGAAAAAATTTGTCTTCAGGAAAATAATCAACCAAAGACTTTCAGAACTGCACAACTAATAAGGGGCCAGCTGCAAAGACCAAAGCCAAATGTAGGTAAAGCCACTGACAGGAAAGAAATTCTCATTTCACAAGAAAAAACTGGGGCCAGTGTAGAAAAGAATGAAAATGTATCCTGTGTTGACAGAGAAGTAAGTACTTTGGTTTCTCCCTACATTTTTGTTAAACAAGTACATAAGCCTTAATAGAAGCTTCCCTTCACCCCTTTTAAAAACAGTAATGCCACATAATTTGTGTGCATCATATTAAATTTATGGTCAAAATCTCATAGCCAGTAGTTTTGCTAATTGAGAACACATTTTAGATTTTCAGCATTCTGTGATACATAGTCTGTTTTCTATCTTACCTCATATTTGGACTTGCTTTTCCCAGTCACTCAGCAGTAGATTATCCTTTCCTTTTGAAAATACTCATATGTAAATTTAAACATTGGTATAAACAGAATAAAATGTTAAGTTCCCTCCTAAAATACAATTCTAATAACAAAGATCACAAATTTTGGATTATTTATATAGTCTGTGACTAAGGTAAAAGTTGGCACGATTTGAGATTTGAATTTCTTCTGTCATAATTCCCATAGTCTATAATGCACTTAACAGCAATCAAAAGGATTCAGAAAGATAGACCCTGTTGGGTAATTCTAGCAGATGAAAATAAAGCAGTTATTTGTCTTCTGATTGGGAGGAAAAGAATGGGGGCTTTCAGATATGGTAAAAGGTGTGGCTTATGAAATTTTCTAAGCTATCTAAAGAAAAAAATATAAAGCATCCTTTGGATATCATTTTATAATTTTGAAATGTCTGCCATTTTCCTTATACTCAAATTGAACAAAATTTTCGATGAAATCTTTTAAAATTATGTTTATTGTGAAACGTAAAACATTTTTGTTTTAAGACTCCTCAACAAATGGAAGATCGGTCATGTAAAAATTTTGAATATGAAGATATCATATCACAGCCTGAGGAAAAAGATACTTCTTTTCAAAATGTGCAGCCAGATGAGTCCAAGTCTCTTAAGGAACATCTAAGGTAAACATCATTTTATTGACTATATAATTTTAAAATTTTGTATGAAGTTTTAGAACTCAGTTTTTTAAACAATAGTAAATTAGATGGATTAGTTATTTGTGTATCAAGTTATATAATGTTTAAAAATATAACTTTACCTTTGAAGGAAGTTTATGTCATAGCCTTCATATTGATTTTTCAATTATGGGTCGTTTGAAAAGAGCTACTCATTATAAATTAGAACTTGCGTTAACATGAATAACCTTATCACCTGACATGCGTATTAAATTAGATGTCTATGTCCAAATGTGAAAATGCTACTTATTTTCTAAATATTTGTTTCTTTAGAATTAGATTGATCACATATTTTCTTTATTTTAGATTTACATAAATTTTATGTAAAATCTGTGTATTAAAACCTATACTTCTCATAGCCAAAGCTCCTTATATTTGTTATTTTCCCTCTGAAGGGCACCAAACCAGATTGATGGAATTATATACTTTTTAAAATTTCACTTTGAGAATGTTTAATGTGCCAAAAAATAGAGAGAGCAATAATGGATTTCCATGTATCTATTATCCAGTTCAGGAATTATTAACATTTTACATCTTTACATTTAAAAGCTGGCCTATGCTATACTTTCTTAATGCTATATATTATCCTATTTAAGTAGTATCTAACCTGAAAGTGAAACCTAGGTTTCCTGAACTATTTTACAGATCTTTATTAGAAGACAGAAACATTTTTTTATTCCTTGCTTCCTCCACTATTCCTTTGTTTACCTGCACCCCTCCACCTCCCCTCTCCCAACTATTTTACTGTGCCAAAATCTTTGGGTAGAAGCTGGTACAACTACATTACTTGTTACATATCTATGATACAGATTTTAATTATAGATGTCTGATAGATTGTTTTTTTTCTTTACATTTTTTCAGTTTAAGCCAGACTCCATTTAATAATGAATGTGACTCAGTAGAAAATTAATTCTTCCGTGTGTGGCTTCTGGGTTTTAGAACCTTGGTGGATATTGTTTATAACTAATATCCAGCCTCATCTCAACAACTTTTCTCTCCATGGGTATTGGTCTTTTCTGTTTTATCATTTGACCTTTCCAGCCTTTGAATCTCCAAGGTCCTTAAAAGCAATTCAAAGGTTATGTATTTTATCAAGTCATATGCCTGTCTATATTTATTTATTTATTTATTTATTATTTTTTTCTTTTATTAGCATATTCATCGTTACAAATCATACTTATTCTTTATGCCCCCATCCATTCTCTCTCCCCCGCCCCCCTCTAATAACCATAGATTTGGTCTCTTCATCTGTTAGGTTAACTGTTCCTCTGTTGGTTTGTTGCTTAGATGATCTGTCCAGTACTGAGAGAGGTGTGATCAAGTCCTCCCCTATTATCATAAATCAGATGCTGCTTCTATTAGTCTGGAGTGTGCTTTGTAGAGAGAGAGGGCCTCTTCTTTTTTTTTTTCTCTTTGGTCTCTGCTGGTACCTCTCCTTGTGTCAATGAAGTTGAGAGTCTGGTGTGCCATGTGCATGGTGGCTGTGACTGCGGCTGTAGAGACTAGCTGCTTTTGTAGCAGCCAAGGCAATTGTGGTGGCTATGGAGGGCTACCCGTGTGAAAATGATGTTTTTGGTGTGCTCTTTACCTACTTGTGGCTGGGTACGACTTCTCCCAGCTCCACGCCTCAGGGGCATGGAGCCGGGGACCGAACCCCTCCCACCCACATCCAGGCACACTGCCAGCACCAAGGAACATGCCAAAAACATCACCTCCGTGTGGGTGGCCCACCACAGCCACCACAGTAACCACAGCTGCCGCAAAAGTGGCTAGACATCACAACCACCATGCAGATGGTCCACCAGGCACTGGAGTACATTGACACAATGAGAGTCACCAGCAGAGACAAAAGAAAAGAAGACGATGTCTCTTTCCACAAAGCCTATTCCAGAGTGACAGAAGAAGCAGCTGCTCTGTGATAATATTGGGGGACCTCAACACACCTCTCAGCATTGGACAGATCATCTAGGTAGCAAATCAAAAGTGTAACCATTACTGTTTCAGAGGGAGAGAAAAAATCTAGGGTTATCAGTGGTGGGAGGGGGGAGGGAGAAGGGGATAGAGGGAGATTAGACAAGGGGCATAAAGAATAAGTACAATTTGTTGGGTCAGCCTGTGGCTCACTTGGTAGAGTGTGTGCTGATAACACCACGGCCAAGGGTTCAGATCCCTGTATAGGGATGGCCGGTTAGCTCACTTGGGAGAGTGTGGTGCTAACACCAAGTCAAGGGTTAAGATCCCCTTACTGGTCATCTTTAAAAAAAAAAAAAGAATAAGTACAATTTGTTGGGTCAGCCTGTGGCTCACTTGGGAGAGTGTGGTGCTAACACCAAGTCAAGGGTTAAGATCCCCTTACTGGTCATCTTTAAAAAAAAAAAAAGAATAAGTACAATTTGTAACAGTATACATACTAGTAATATTGATTTGATCAACATATGTTAACATCGAATCCCCAAAATATGTATAATCAATTATGATTCAATAAAATAAACAAACAAACAAACAAATAAATAAATAATAAAAAAGAAAATGGTGTTTTTGGTGTGCTCTTTACCTGGTTGCGGCTGGCTTTGACTTCTCCCAGCTCCATGCCTCAGAGCCCTAGTGGGGCCTCAGGATGGTGCCTTTCTGTATCTAATAGGCAGTTTCCCCCTTCCCCTACTCCAAACACTTTGGCCTGTTCAAGATGCTATATAAGAGAAAGAGATAGAGTCTCTGAAACAATGAATGCATTAAAAATTCTACTTCATTAGATAAATTAGTGAGTATTTCTTTGAAACTTAATCTTCTAGACTAATTTTGCATCCTCTCTAGTTCGTATACATAATTTGAGGTTTGTGTCATGATTGGTGGTTTATCTTATGGAGGTTTATAAATATTTTGTAGATTCGTATACTCTTTATTTTAGAAAAACACATTGTGAACCTTGAAGCAGATTTATGGTTTTGTGTCTGTTCTTCTATCTTATCCAATTGTGATCCCTTTTTTTTCTTTGCTTTTCTCTGCTTTTCTCCTTGAATTGTGTGATCCGAGGAGAGAATTTGTGGATCCATTGTATGTTTTAGGTTGAGAAATAATCTTGTTCAATTATATATCTGACTTCCAGCCTTAGATACTGCCCTTCAGTTAATTATGCACCTGATATGAGCTCTGAGAGAAGGTCTGTCTGGTTCACCATTGTATTTCCAGTTCCTAGCACGTGCCTTCCTGGCATGTAATAGGTGCTTAGAAATATTTGTTGACTTATTGTTCATGAACTCTAAGAGGTATGATATTTGTTTATTTTTATCCATTAAAAATAAGCTTATTGAAGTCCTTTTATTACTTAGAAACAATTTAAGCACTTAGAATATAATTATAACATTGTGTATTTGTATCTTATTATCTAAACTGATATTGAAGTAATGAAATTATTTATAAAGCTTTTGCCTAAAGCATTTATATGTTTAAAGAATATGCCAGTGTTCAAAATGTGACTTTATAAAGATAGTTTATCTTTTCCCGTAATACCCAAGCCAAAATTGCTAGCACAGTAACCTCAGTAAAAGCTAGATGTTTCTGGATGGAGACAAAAAGTATCATAAATCAAAGAATGGGATGAAATCCACCCAGGACTAATCAAATCAAATTTTCTTTACCAATTGCTATTAATTTTGCATTTAATGTTTTCAATTACTAAAGTTAATGATAGGTATAAACATGTCAGTTATATAAACAGGGGTCTCATTGCCCAAGAAATTGCTTTGTGTTATCAAAAATTGCATTATAAAAAATAGTTGTTTCAGTGAAGAAAGATAGGTTAAGGCCTAGGGAAGTTCAAAGAAGCAATAGCGTACTTTTTAATAATCTTTTTTGAGGCTGAATAAATCTAGTGTTTCATTTGATCTAGCTTTTGCCCAAGATTAATGACCTTTCTTAACTAGTCACTAAGAGCTCCTTCATCCATTTATACATTGTTATTGGTTTTGCCATCTATTATGGTAAAACACAAAGCAGAGTGCTGCTGCTTTTCTGTAGAACAAGGTGCTTGTTTTGAATGGCGATTGCATGCCCAAGAACATTAAGCAAAATATTATTGTGTATTTAATCTGTCCTTTTATTCCCATTTTGTATTATGAAATCACAAGCTCTTAGGGAGATATCTGTATAGGAAATCTCATTTTAAATTGTTTTTTAAAAGTGAGGAGCACAGGGGCCGGCCCGGTGGCGCACTGCGCTAGTGCGCCGCTTGGGAAGCGCGGCAGCGCTCCCGCCGAGGGTTCGGATCCCACATACAGACCGGTTCCCGCTCACTGGCTGAGCGAGGCGCAGGGGCAACACCGAGGGTTGCGATCCCGTTGCCGGTCCCGGTCCGGTACGGGGGCGACACTGAGGGTTGCGATCCGTTGCCGGACACGGAAAAAATAAAAAAATAAAAAAATAAATAAATAAATAAATAAATAAAAGTGAGGAGCACAGACCTAGTTCTTAGTCATAAGGGACCAAAAAATAAATAAATAAATAAATAAATAAATAAATAAATAAATAAATAAAAGTGAGGAGCACAGACCTAGTTCTTAGTCATAAGGCTTTATCTTATTCAAGTTGTACTTCCGTCTAGCTATTTGAGATGGTTGTTTGTTATGGCACAGTGTATGTCTGGGTAAAACATAGTAGGGGCAAAGAGGTAGAAATAGCATACACACCTTGGTTTAGCGCCAATGCAGAGGACTGGAGAGTCTTTCCCAGCCAGTTTGTGTGTAGGATGGTGTGAGTGACAATTGAAAAGGGACTATTCAGGGCCAATTAGCTGCTAATGTGATTGACCTTATTAACAGATATCTCTACATAAGTCTATACATAAATAGGTTTATTTTAAAATTTTACCATAACTTCAAAAAATGGAATTTTCCCCTCTCCCTTAATTTAAAAATTTTACACAGAGATTCTTGGGGCTCTCTTTCTTTCTTTCTTTCTTTCTTTTTTTTTTAATTTGAGAGTTTCTGGTGTTTTCATAGTGATTTTCAACCATCATCTCTTCAAATGGCAATCTGGTTTAAAGCTTGATTGTGTGTCTTTCTTTATAGCATTCAAGAGAATAGTAAAGCAAATATCCTCAAACAAGTCCCAATTCTAAGGACTCGATTTCAGAAACTAAAGCCAAATATAGGAAGAGGAAGTGGAAGAAGAGAAATTTCCTCAAAGGAAAAGGTTCCAGAGGAGATCCTTGTCTCTGGTGAAATGCAAGCAGGTTCAAGAGAAGTTTTAAGTCTAGACCCTTCACCAAGGGAGAAGGTATCCACGGAGACTAATACTACTAAGGAAATAGAGTCAGATTTAAAAGAAATGGGAAAAAGAGACATCTTTCCTAGGGAGAAGATGCCAGAAATGATTGACATCACTGTGGAAATGGAAACAGGTTTGAAAGTAACTGGAAGAGAGATTTCTCCAGAGGAGAAGGTATCTAAAGTGATTGATGTCACTGAGGAAATAGACGCAGATTTGGAAGAAATGGAAAAAAGAGAAATATCCCCACAGGAAAATGCCCCAAAGGAGGTGAAGTCTATCGGAGAAATGGAGACAGGTTTGAAAGCAACTGGAAGAGAGATTTCCCCAAGGGAGAAGATACCAGAGATGATTGATACCACTGAGGAAGTAGACATCAATTTAGAAGAAACTAGAAGAGAATTATCCCCACAGGAAAATGCCCCAGAAGAGGTCAAGTCTATAGGTGAAGTGGAGACAGATTTGAAAGCAAGTGGAAGAGAAATTTCCCCAAGGGAGAAGATACCGGAGGTGATTGATGCCACTGAGGAAATAGACACAGATTTGGAAGAAACTGGAAGAAAAATATCCCCACAGGACAGTGGCCTAGAGGAGGCCAAGTCTATAGGTGACATGGAGACAGGTTTGAAAGGAACTGGAAGAGAGATTTCCCCAAGGGAGAGGATACTAGAGGTGATTGATACTATTGAGGAAATAGACACAGATTTGGAAGAAACTAGAAGAAAAATATTCCCACAGGAGAGTGGCCCAGAGGAGGCCAAGTCTATAGGTGACATGGAGACAGGTTTAGAAGAAATTGGAAGAGATATTTCCCAAAGGGAAAAGGTACTTGTGGAGGTCAATGCCATATGGGAAAGGGAGATTGATTTGAAAGAAACTGGTGAAAGAGATGTTTCCCTGATGGAGAAGGTCTCAGGAAGGATAACTGCCATTGAGGAAATGGAAGAAGAATTGAAAGAAACTGAAAAAGAAATTTCCTTGAGGGAGAGAGGATCTGAAGAGATCATTGTTACTGAGGAAATGGTGGTAGATTTGAAAAAAACTGGAAAAACAGACATTTCTCCAAGGGAAAATGAACCAGAGGAAACTGGTACCTCAAGACAAGCTGAGACAAATGTAATGCAGAGCAGTAGCGGTGACTGCAGTGCTATGCCTTCGCTAGACATACAAGTACGTATACTCCTGTCCTTTAAAAAATTCTTGAATACTTTTTTCATAGAGAAGTTACCAGAATAATTTTATGATTATTTGCCCTTAAGTCCAACAACACTTAAAATCTGAAAGTCTAAAGTCTTTCAGCCCTCGATTTCTATTTCAGGACCTTGAAGAAACTACATATTCTTTTTTAAAAAATAATTTTAAACATTTCCTAATCGTGGGAAACATTACTATTGCTAATGTCAGTTTGAAGTTACTCTTTTAAATGAAAAGAAAATAGGAAGTTGGAGTAAATTTGTACCAACGCTAGTATGAACGTACATCAGAATTATTTCTTTTGGATGTATCTGTATCTGTTTTTCTCTTTATTCTCTGTCCCACTTGACTTTATTTCACTTACAAAAGTTCCTTTTGTTTAAAGTTTCTAGTGACTTGAAGTTCATGCTCTTCTAACATTTTCAAGGACATTTGACTTTTTTTTGTTTGTTTTTTTGTCTTTTGTCTTTTTTCCGTGTCCGGCAACGGATCGCAACCCTCAGTGTTGCCCCCGTACCGGACCGGGGACTGGCAACGGGATTGCACCCCTCGGTGTTGCTCCCGCGCCTCGCTCAGCCAGTGAGCGGGAACCGGTCTGCATGTGGGATCCGAACCCTCGGGCGGGAGCGCCGCCGCGCTTCCCAAGCGGCGCACTATCCAGTGCGCCACCGGGCCGGCCCGACATTTGACTTTTTTTTGTATAGGTAATGGCATTTATGTTTTTGGAAAAATCATAGTATGCAATATAAAAGGAAGAGTTTTCTGATTTTTAGATTTTAACATTCGTAAGTTAAATTTTATTTTATTAACAAACTTCTAAATTTTAAAAGGAAATTGTTTAGAATATAGTAGGCTTTTGTTTGAAAGGTATGAGAAGCTTAAGGAATCTTCTGTATGTGCTGATTTATTGTGACTATTCCTCCAGAATATTAGCAGTGAAGTACTGTTGGTGATGCATACATCTGTAGAAGAAAAAAATTCTGAAAAGGAAGTGTCAAGTCACTTAAGTCATTTGAAGACTTTTTCACAGACTTCTGAACTTGGTAGAACAGAAGATCAAGGGATGCAACTTCCAGATGTTCCAGAGCAGTTCTCAACTACTATTTTAAGGTATAAAGTATAGGTCTGTGTGCTTTTAAAGAAAAAGCATTTAAAATTATATTTGCAGGTTATGTTAAACTAAGTGAGGTTTTGAGGCATAACAAATACAGTGTAGGCAGTGTTAAGAGATTTTAAGATAGTTTTGGGAAGACAGAAAGAGGATTGAGATCATTCTGACTATTGATTGTGAGAATTACATACGAAATTGTAACACATACTCCTGAGTCAATACGAGTTTGACAGACCTATATATTTTTTTTTTTTTGTCTTTTTTTTTTTTTCGTGACCGGCAACGGATCGCAACCCTCAGTGTGGCGCCCGCACCGGACCGGGACCGGCAACGGGATCGCAACCCCCGGTGCTGCCCCCGCTCCCCGCTCAGCCAGTGAGCGGCTGGTCTGCATGCGGGATCCGAACCCTCGGCGGGAGCGCCGCCGCGCTTCCCAAGCGGCGCACTGTAGCGGTGCGCCACCGGGCCGGCCCAAATTGTTTTTCCCCCGATAGATAAGCTGTCATTTTTCTCTGGCTCCTTTCAGCCAGAGAAATATTGTCTTTCTACATTGTCTTTGTCCAACAGACCTATATTTTCATTGTGCAAAGATGTAATTCTTAGGCTCATATTTGGATTGTACCACTCGTTTTTTAGGATCTACCAAATAATCTGATTTGCTTTCTTGTTAGAGTCAGAATCAAATGTTTACTGTCAATCTGTAAGGTTGTCCCAAGACTCTGTTCCACTGCCCCTTCAATTCATTCTAAAGCTTGATCATCCTTGTTCCAGAAGCAGATCTCTTCAAGAACAGAAGCCACTTGAAGTTAAATCAGCACCTTTTGTGAGAAGTCGATTCAAAAGACCAAAACCAAACTTAACAAGAGCAGCTTTAAGGAGAGAGACTACAGAAGCAGAAAAATATGTACCTGGGGAGAAATTGCAGACTGATAAAATGGAGACTATTGTGATACAACAGAACAGTGAACAAGCTAATAATACTCTCCCTTCTCAACATGTGAGTAATACTTAAGATGGAGTTGTGATTTTTATTTTTAATTACTATGGTTACTAAAATAAAACACATGGAATTAAAATTTCACAAATATTTTAATTATAATTTTATAATTATAAATTTTTATCATTTTAATTATTATTTTTGCTGTGTGTGATATTTTTCTTTACTTAATGTGCTTCATTGTTCCATGTAGTTTGTATAAGATTCCTGGATGTCTGATGATGGACCAGTGAGTCATAGGAGGGCATTTAGGAGGCCTAGGCTCTGGTTCAAGTTCTGGCTGTGTGACCTCAGCCAAGTGATTTCAGTTTCTTTGTAGGAAAAATAGGAATAACAGTCCTTTATATCACTCTGTTGTGAAGGTGAAATGAAAAGTTAAAAGCTTGATATGAATTAAAGAAGATAGATATTTTATTTACTTTATTAAATTGGTCTCTTAACAGATTAAGATTGTGTGATACAATATTAAAAACTTTGAAATGAAATGTGAATACTCATAAATTGAATTTTACACATGTAAAGGTTTTTTTAAATTTATTTTTTTGATCATAAACAGTTCAATTTGAAAATATGTATATGTACACACACATATTCTAAAAAGTGAGAGTCCTTTATAGTGTCTGATCCTTCTCTCTCAAGTGAATCATGGAGCAATTTTGAATATATCCACCTAGACTTTTCTGTGTAGATAATTATTTATAAAATTAAATGTACAGATATTTTTATTGTTTTCCAAAAATAGCATCGTCACATGCATTCTGATTTTTCTATGTAACACAATATTGTGAATATCTTTTTTGGATCAGTACAAAGAAATTTACCTTCTTTTAAATGATTATATACTATTACATTATAAAGAAATTAAAATTCATTTATTCAGTCTCTTACTGATAGATTTGTCTTTTTCCAATTTTTTATTTGCTTTTCTTGTGGGGGTGCTCTTAAATTTTTACAATAAATATCCTTATATATACATTTCTAGATGCTTCTTTGAGTATTTTTATAAGAAATTTGTAGAAGTGGAATTGCTGGGAATTTAAATTTTAATCTTCTACTAATAGTATGTGAAAATTCTTATTTCGCTATACTTTTACCAACCCTGGATGAATTTTTTTTTTCCACCTTCTAGGATGTGGCTTCCCTAATGACATCAAGAGAAAAAGGCAAATTAGGGCACAAGAAGGAGGAGGCTATGATATTACCATGTACTCAGACTGAAAAGGACCATTCACCTTCACATTCTTGTAAACCTAAAGAGGAGTCTCAATCAATACAAGCCCAGGAAAATGGCCTAGTTGATCCTTTGGGGTAAACAGTGATATGAATTAATGTATTTTAAAAGTGAATATAAGAATAGTTGGTATATTTTTATTGATATAGCAGACTGCCTGAAATAGGAAGTCAGATTGAATTCAGCACCTTTTAATGCTTGCTTGCTTACCTTCATTGTTAGCTGCTTAACATCCTATACAAAGCAATGCATTAAAACTCTGTGTATATAAGCTATATATTCACTCCCTTTTTAAAAATTGGTTGAAAAAAATGTGTGTGTGTGTGTGTGTGTATAAAATAAAATTTACGGGGGCCGGCCCGGTGGCGCACTGCTACAGTGCGCCGCTTGGGAAGTGCGGTGGCGCTCCCGCCGAGGGTTCGGATCCCACATGCAGACCGGCCGCTCACTGGCTGAGTGAGGTGCTGGAGCAACGCCGAGGATTGCGATCCTGTTGCCGGTCCCGGTCCGGTGCGGGCGTGACACTGAGGGTTGCGATCCGTTGCCGGTCACGAAAAAAGACAAAAAAAGGAAAAAAAAACAAAAACAAAAATAAAATAAAATTTACCATTTGAACCCTTTTTTTTTTTGGGTGGCTGGCTGGATAACTCTTGACCTTGGTGTTATAACACTGCGCTCCAACCGGCCAGCCCCGTTTTAACCATTTTTGAGTGTACAGTCCAGTAGCATTAAGTCCATTCGCATTGTTCTGCAACCATACCACCATCCATCGGTGGTATCATTGGGCTGGTTGTGATTGTTGGGCGTGGCTGAGGCCCTCGGCCCCCTACTGCCCTAGCTTAGAGCATGCTTCTTAGAAATTTATAACTACTGACTAAAATTTATAAACAGGAAGTGCTATGAAGTACTTACTTTATGCTATATTTAGAGGTAACTACATCTAAGTCAAATGGTAGGAATGATATCTTCTAAATGAAATGTGGTAGTAGGTGAAGAAATATTGGCATTATCACTTTTTATGACTTGCAATCTGCTTATTATTATTGATATTAAAGCAGGATTTTTTTAGTTTCTTTACAGTTCCTTTTTGGATATAGTTCATGGTCCATCTAATTTACTGTAATATCTTTGTCACTTGGACATGTTTTAATGAGGTATTTGTTAATTTTCCTCCAGAATGTCTTCAGCGCTTACAAATTTACTTTGAATATTCCAGCTCCCTTTAATTATATAGCATGACCTTGATTTTTGGTGGGGGGATGCAGAAGAGATGTTATTGTATTCTTTTTTTGCCCTCTCTATTTAGGCGAAACCAGAGAAATAGAATTTAGGCATGTTATGTTGTCTGTCTGAACATGTGGAGCTGTTGATTTTTGATGGCTTTAAACAGTTTGCTTTCATTTAGACAGCTTTCTTTTTTTTTTTTTTTCCCCTTTTTTTTTGTCTTTTTTCGTGACCGGCAACGGATCGCAACCCTCAGTGTTGCGCCTGTACCGGACCGGGACCGGCAACGGGATCGCAACCCTCGGTGTCGCGCCCGCACCTCGCTCGGCCAGTGAGCTGCCGGTCTGTATGTGGGATCCGAACCCTCGGCGGGAGCGCCGCCGCGCTCCCAAGCGGCGCACTGTAGCAGTGCGCCACTGGGCCAGCCCCTTAGACAGCTTTCTAATGTGAAGCTTTTATTGTTTAGATTTCTTTTTTGTCTTCAAAAGCCTTTTCAGATTGTTTTCATTTTAAGATTAAGGCAAATTTTTACTTTACATTAATTTCAAGTTCCTTACTAAGCTGTTTCTTTATTTTAAAAAACTAGATGTTTAAGTGAAGTGGTTGGTGCTTAGAAATGTTTGCACACTTGTATTATAAATGCTGTATTGGATAGGTTGATGATTGATCCCATGGAGTAATTCATCTCTGACAATGATTCTTGGGAACACTTTCCCCAAACATTAAATATAAACCTATTTACATCTTTGGCTTCTCCTAATTACTAATTATAGATTTATTTTCCATGTGTAATTTAATCCCTTTTTGGTCTTACAGATTATAGAATCTTGCCACTGAAAAGACCTTTATACATTTATTCATTCTGCAAACATTTTAGTGTATTCTGTGTGCCAGGCATTGTTCTAGGTGCTGATAATATAAGAATGAACAAACAAAAAAATTCTGTCATTGTGAAAGTTGTATTCTAATTGGGGGAACAGGGCTGACCAGTTAGCTCAGTTGATTAGAGCACAGCCTTTTAACACCAAGGTCATGGTTTCGGATCCCCATACTGGCCCCCCTACCAAAAGAAACTAATTGAGGAAACAGATTATAAATGAGAAATAAGTTGACTAAATAATTAATAAGTAAGTAGAGAAAAATAAAGCAGGTGGGGGGTAGGGAATATTATAATTGGAGATTCAGTTTTTAATTAGCAGTGACCAGAGAATGCTTCATTGAAGGGATACCACTGGAGAGAAGACCTGAAAGAAGTCAAGGAGCAAGTCAAGGGGATGAGGCAAGCCTGGCATGCTTGAGTAGCAAAGAGTCCAATGTGGAACAGAGTGAAAGAGGAAGAGTAGTAGATGAATGAGAGGTAAAGACTGAGGGTGAAGATTACTTAAGTAATCTTAGTTAAGATTAGTTAAGTCATCTTAATCTTTTAGGTCTGTTTAGTCAATTACTCATTTGTAATTACAATTACAAATGAGTAATTGACTAAATAGACCTAAAAGATTAAGTGACTTAACTCAAACTAACATTGACAGTTTAGTTTTTATATTTAAGCTATTAGGATTTGTGACTTTCATACTAACAGATTCCTACAGTTTTTCCTTAAAGTGTTTTCTGAAACTTTTCATGTTTCAAATTGTTTTATGCTTAGCTTTTTTTTTTTCTTTTTGGCAGCTGGCCAGTATAGCCTTTGTATTTTGTAATGAGATCTAACTTTTATACTTCATGGAAATCCATAATCCACCCTCCCTTTTTTTCCTAACCTTTTCTAGTTCTATTCCATCTCTGTATAGTTTTTTAATTAACTTATTCTTAATGTCCAACATTTTGTTGTCCCTTTTGACCTCAGTAGCACATTGGGCTTATGTATGCATTTTATTCTTAAATACTTTTGCAGAATCACAATTCTTCAGATCTTTGCCAGTTATTAAAATATTTTCCAGGAATCCTTGCATAGCTATTGGGGCTGCCTTGGGAGCTATGGCTACTCTATTGAATGTTAAAACCTTGTCTTTATCTGATTTGGAAGATACAAATGGGTTATGTTGAGAACCCTATGACACTAGCTGTCAATAAACTCTTTTGTATGAGTTTTCAGGCATGTAGTGAGAGAATAGTCCCTAGCACTCAAGCCTGCTCTTGATCTAGAAGGACGAAGTGGTTATGACCATTGTATATTTCTTCATACTTTGGAGGCCAGTTGAAGGTATTTATTTAAAGTGCCATTGCGAACTCCATCTTCAGCTACTGATATTTTTTGGATATCTAGTTATTTCTCTGAAAATTACTTTTTTTGGTTATTTTCTTTTCTTTTTTTTCTTTTTGGTGGCTATCTGGCCCAGGGATTCGAACCCTTGACCTTGGTGTTATAACGCCATGCTCTAACCAACTAAGCTAATTGGCCAGCCCTTAAAATTACTTAAACTATCATGAAAACACACACCAGAATCAATGAATGAAAGTAAAAAAAGATTAATATTACTGTAAGACTTTTCTCTAGGTTATACAGAAAATGGAAGTTATAAAAGCTTTTATGGGGGCCGGCCCGGTGGCGCACTGCGCTAGTGCGCCACTTGGGAAGCGCGGCTGCGCTCCCACCGAGGGTTCGGATCCCACATACAGACCGGTTCCCGCTCACTGGCTGAGCGAGGCGCGGGGGCAACACCGAGGGTTGCGATCCCGTTGCCGGTCCCGGTCCGGTGCGGGGGCGACACTGAGGGTTGCGATCCGTTGCCGGACACAGAAAAAAGACAAAAAAAATAAATAAATAAATAAAATAAAATAAAATAAAATAAAATAAAAGCTTTTATGTTCTTCCTTTCATATCAGCAATGCATGGTTTCATTTTACATGTGTAGTTTTATAGCCAACTTATATATAATCCTTTGAACACATAACTGGTTTGTATCCAAAATTGTTCGATTTAACAGCTGTTACATCAGCAAGGAATTCTGATTTTTGTTCTTCAACATGACTTGTACTTTATCTAGACATGAAAAAAAACCGAATGTTCATAGCCCAGCACAGTTGATAAGAAGGAAATCCCAAAAGACTGAGCCAAATTTGGGAAGAGCACATGGTGAGAAAAAGGAACCAGGTATAGAAAAAGGCACAACAGCTCGGAGCAAAGCAAGCAAGCCAGAAGATAACTTGCTGCAGCAAGGAGATTCTGTCACCCAGTCTCTTCTAAAAGTAAGTTTGGGAGTGTGTGGGATGGGGTTTTTTTTGTGTCAGTGAGCTTTATTTTGTTAGGATCATGAAGGAAGATATTAGTAAAATACAGTTTTGACTTTGGTATTGTAACTATTTTCATGAAAAGTGATTGACTTTCCAGTATTATAAAAATTAGAAACTAGTCGCTTAATTGTTTGTATGTTTAAGCTTGGAGGTTTAGGCCAAACTACCAATCCAAATTAACACAGAGATTGTGTCCATGGTGATATTAGTTATTTCTCCTTAAATTTAAGGAAAAGGCTGAGCTTCTGACACCTCTGGAAGTTGCAGCAAGAAAAGACTGTGTAGGTTCCCAAGAGTCTGGTTTTGCCAAAAAACATGCCCAATTAGAAGAAGCTGGACCATTGGGAAGTGTTGGAGAGGAAACAGTAGGAGATAATCCTATGTCTTCAGTTGTTGAAGAGCAATATGTCAGTAAACTAACAAGGTAATGTATTCATTTAACAAAATAATTTTAGAATAGGAAATAAGTCACTTATTCTTTTCTTTCTTTTCTTTTTTCTTTTCTTTTCTTTTCTTTTCTTTTTTTCTTTTCTTTTCTTTTCTTTTCTTTTCTTTCTGCAGCTGGCTGGTACAGGGATCTGAACCCTTGACCTTGGTGTTACAAGGCTTCTTTTCTTTTCTTTTCTTTTCTTTTTTTCTTTTCTTTTCTTATCTTTTCTTTCTGCAGCTGGCTGGTACAGGGATCTGAACCCTTGACCTTGGTGTTACAAGGCTCTAACCAATTGAGCCAACTGGCCAGCCCCACTTATTCTTTATGGGTGTCTTACCTTACCTTACTGATAGAGCAAAAAGATGGCTTGTTAACAAAAATGGGGGTTGTTTTTTATTGACAGATCTGTTTCTTTCTCACTTTTGATTTTTATTTACTAAAACTTTTTTTTTATCGTCTTAGGATGATTTTTCTTTCCTACGTTTAAAATTTCTGGGTGTTGAGTCTAGACGTGAGCAGAAGGCTGACCAGACAGTAGTGTGTATTACCTAAGTGATTAGGGTACTGTTTTGAATGGGGTCACAAACACAAATGAAGGGTACCCTTCTTCCATAGTTTTCAAAAAAAAAGTGGAAAGGAACCTAAGTTCTGAAAAACAGAATTTCTCTGATTGATTTCCTGCCTCTCTTCCCCACCCCCTTTTTTAAAACCTAATCTGTTTACCCAGTAGAATAAACCGGTACAAGGGTACTTCAAAAAGTTGGTGGAAAAGTAGATTTGAAAGATAATCTTTCCATGAACTTTTTGAAGTATCCTAATACCATTTTTTGATCCCATATTTTCTATTAATTGGATCTGTGTCTTTTATCCCTTTTTCTTGTAATAATTTCCAGTTTTGTGGTTATTGCATCTCTACTTCCATATCATGGCCAAAAAAGCAACCCAAAATTAAAAATTTACTATGAAAAAATTATTAGTGGATAATAAGAGTTAACTCTGAATGAGAAACTGAATAGTAAATTCCTTTCTTATTTTCACAGCATAAGATTTTAAAAGAATGGGTGGTGAGAGTTTTCATTTTAATGGCTGGAACTGGGATTTTACTCTAAAAGTTTGGTTTACATTAAAATTATTCTTGTGCATGTATGACCATATTGTTATTTTGATTAAACATCCAGCTGTCCACAACTGTTAAAAGAATCAAATTACTCTAAAAGTGCTTCGGATCGAAGAACAACTGTCTTTTCTGCCTCTGAGTGTGAGGTAGATCATAGTGAAAGGAGAATACATAGAAGGATCAAACCAAGTGTCACCAAAGGGCGTGGATCAAAACGAATTCGGAGTAAGACCTCTAAGAAGCAACCTAGGGCTTCCAAGGCCATACTGGTGACTCTTCGGGCTTCCCAGGAAGAAGATGAAGATGATGCTGAAGATTTTGAGCCTGACTATGACGAAGAAAGCTATCATCTTCCCCCAGAAGAAGTAAACAAAGCTCCAGTGTTTGTGCCTATTGGTCTCAGATCTCCTGAACCTGTTTCTACTCAAATTGAGGAAACAATGGAAGAGGTAGTTTGTTTTTTGGAATCCTTAGCAGTTTATCTTACTTTTTTTCCCCTCCTTTTTTTTTTTAGTGGATCATTATTTCTTTTCATAGTAGATTTAAAGAATTTACTGTCTAAATAACCTCTACCAAATATAATTTGGTGCCTAGTGAATAACTTAAGGAATCAGTAGAAGTAGGCTTCTGTGACCTCCTGTGATGACTCAGCCCCTATTGCCCGGGCCCAGCAAGGAAATCAGTATAACAATAATAATAGAAATCTGCTTACATTTGTATCTGGAGGCTGCTTAATCTAGTTTCTGATTAATTTTTAAAACAGTTTTGAAAGTATTTTCTATTTACTCTTTGTCATAGTCTCAGGTTGAGTTATGGATGGTAGAGAAGATAGAAGGGATGTATTTTTTTTTTCTTTTTAAAAAAATTGTAAATTACACAAAACATAGACTTTACCATCTTAACCATTTTTATGTGTACAGCTCAGTAACATTAAGTACATCACATTGTTGTGCTACCGTCACCACCATCCATTCACGGAACTCTTTTCATCTTACAAAACTGAAATTCTGTATCTGTTAAACAATAATTCTCTGTTCTCCCTGCACCCCCCCAGACTTTGGCACTCACCATTCTACTTTTTGTCTCTGTGAATTTCACTACTCTAGGAACCTCATGTAAGTGGAATCATATGGTATTTGTCCTTTTTGTGACCGGCTTATTTCACTTAGCATAGTATTTTCAAGGTTCATCTGTTGTAGCATATATCAAAATGTCCTGCCTTTTTCAAGCTGAATAATGTTTCATTGTGTATGATGTATACATACATACATTTTGTTTATCTATTCATTCATCAGTGGACATGGGTTGCTTCCACCTCTTGGCTATTGCAAATAATGCTGTTGTGAACATGGTCATACAAATATCTCTTTGAATTCCTGCTTTCAGTTCTTTTGGGGAAATACCCATAAGTGGAATTGCTGGATCTTACAGTAATCCTGTATTTAATGTTTTATAGCAACTACCATATCGTTTTCCATAGTGGCTGCATCATTTTACATTCCCGCCAACAGTATACAAGGGTTCCAGTTTCTCTATATCCTCACCAATAGTTATTTTCTATTTTTGTTTTCAAAGTATCCACCCTAATGGATGTGAAGTGGAGAAACATATTTAACTTCCTTATTCTTTTACCTCTTTGTCTAGCATTCCAACTTTGTAACTTCAAAGTTTTCTGTTCTGCCCCAATTTTCAGTCACTCATTTGGCTTATAGAGCAGCATATTTCAATCAGTTTTGTATAAGCATTCATGGTAGTTTCTGAGTCTTTTGAAACAGAGTCAGGAGTTAACTAAGCTAGTAGTGATGATAATAAAAGAAGCAGTAGGAAACAAAATTCAAGTAATGTTAACATAAACCTTAAATGCTAAGGTAACTCCATTAAGAATTAATGGATTGCCTGAATTTGTAAAGTCACATTTATGTATGGAAGTCAAAATCTACCTTTATTTTATTCAGTGTTAATAATATGCTAAGTGTTTTAAAGTAAATGAGTTAGTAGAGTGGGTGAAGTTACCTGAAAATGATGCAAAATGAGGTTGTTAACTAAAAGTTCAAAATAAAAATAGTGGATCTATATTTTAGTTGAAACCAAGAAAATGCAAAAGGAAAGTTAATTTTGTGGAAGGACAGCTGGTTAATACTACATGAATTTTTTTAGCTATGTATTTTGTATTTTTTTTTCCTTTGGGTAAAGGCAAATAGCTAATGAAAACTAATACAGAAATTAGTTTTTGAAAATCAAGTTCCAAGATGTATCCCTGAATTAATACAGACTATCAGTAGCATTAATCATAATAATTGAACAGAAAAAATCTTAAGTCTTATTCCATATAGCTTACTAAAAGAGGTAAATTCACATATGTGTTAGAAAAATTTTCTTTAAAAAGTATTGAAATACTATATTATTCAGCCATAAAGTATTGATACGTGGTACAACATGGATGAATCTTTAAAACATTATGCTAAGTGATGGCATACATCCTGGAACCTGATTTTGAGAAATTAATTTCTGATAATAGTTTTCATTAGCAGTTTGCCTTTACCCAAAGCTTCAGGGTTGGGAGATGGGATTAGGGGTGAAAGGAGTGATAGCTAATGGGTATGAGGTTTCTTTCTGAAGTGATGAAAATGTTCTAAAATTGAATGTGATGATGGTTGCACATATCTGTGAATATTCCAAAATATATTGAATAGTATCCATTATATGGGTGAATTGTATGATATGTGAATTATATCTCAATAAAGCTGTTAAAAAAGAAAGTATCAACTGTATGGAGCTTAAAGAACCAGCTTTCGATTATCTAGAATATTCCCTTTTCCCACCCAATCTTAATTTTTTAGAAAGTATTTTATCTTTTCAAATCACTTGAACTTTTTAATTCATCCCAGGCCTATTGGATATTAGCAAAGGTTTTTTGCTAATTTTTGCCTCTGAGGAAACAGACACAGAACACACAGTATTAACTATAATAAATATGTCTTGAAGACAGATTCTCAGAGGACTCTTTACACTCATCTTTCTGTTAATAAGGGAGTAGGAGCCAGATTGTGTGTATTCTGGGAGATAAATCAATATCTTTTTAGCCTCCAGATTATAGGGCACTTTGACTAATTGGACTGCCAAATGAAGAGTAAATATGAGTGAACCCATTATTTTAGGGTATTAAGGATCATGCAGGCTTTGAGGTTGTGCGAGAGGGTAGTTGCAGTGAGGGGTAGAGGATGATAAATCATCTCTATTATAGCATTTATGACAGTGTAAAGTTAGTTGATTCATGTCTGTTTCTTTCAGATTGTGAAGTCATTGAGGGAAGGGATCACACTTGTCTTATTTGACTTTGTATCCCTGTACCCATAGCCCTGTACTTTTTAGGAAGCACTCCATAAATGTTAACAAACTAAAGACAGACATTTAGGGAAAATAGAGTCAAAGTGGAGAGAATGTAAAATGAAAAGCCAGGCACTAAGATTAGCCTTAGAAATTTTGCTTATTGGTTACAATAGATACAAACCTCTTAAAAACCTTAACTATTTTACTTTTGCCAAGTTGTTATTAATCCATTTAAAAATTACATTACTACATTTCACTTATTTAATCGTGAATAAATGTGGGTTATTTCTTAATTTTATCATTTTGTTTTACTTATTCATGTGGAAAATGAGATTTGTTTTACTGTTTATGGTATGCCCAAATGAAATAAGACTTTATTTTGACAGCTTGAAATAACTGTGAATGTTCCAGATGTAGGATGCATAGCTGTTGTTGAACAGCAGTTCTCAAACACAGATGTGACTACTCAGGAAATGAAAAAAGAAGAAAATTTGAATGCATCATCATTTGTAAGCATCCACTTTAATATGTTTTTGCCTTTTAGTCTTTGTTTACTGTCAGAAGACTGGAGGTTTATTTTGATAGCTTTAGATTTACAGACAATTCTTAGCTAATTTCTCTCATGTGGGAAGCTATTAGTATAAATAGTAAAAACTAGTGAATGTTCTAGAGATTTTATATTTGACTTGGAAAGCACTGATTTTTTTGTGTGTTTGTGGGTAGAGCGTATAATATCCTTACAGACTTTTACATTAAAATTCTATTGCATTAGGGCTGGCCCGGTGGCGCACTGCTACAGTGCGCCGCTTGGGAAGCGCGGCGGCGCTCCCGCCGAGGGTTCAGATCCCACATACAGACCGGCCGCTCACTGGCTGAGCGAGGTGCGGGAGCGACACCGAGGGTTGCGATCCCGTAGCCGGTCCCGGTCCGGTACGGGCGCGACACTGAGGGTTGCGATCCGTTGCCGGTCACGAAAAAAGACAAAAAGGAAAAAAAAAAAATTCTATTGCATTAAATCCATACTAAATGTAAATTACTTAAAATATATTTAATTGCATTTTGTTTGGTGCTCTTCCATATTTGGTATTGATCTTGTTCTTGTCAAGGAAGACTTGGAATTGTAACTTTTTGAAAAAGTTTTATTGAAATACAGTTCACCTACCATACACTTCACCCATTTAAAGTATACAATTCAGTGATTGTTAGTGTATTTGCAGAGTTGTGCAAATATTACCACAGTCAATTTTAGAGCATTTTCATCACCTCAAAAAGGAATCTGCACACTCATTATCAGTCACTCCTCATTTCCTCCCAGCCCTAGTAATCTACTTTCTGTCTCTGTACATTTGCCTATTCTGATTTTGGGGGGGTTTTAGTGTGGGGTTTTTTTTTTTTTTTTGGCGGCTGGCTGGTATGGGGATCTGAATCCTTGACCTTGGTGTTCTCAACACCATGCTTTAACCGGCCAGCCTGCATTTGCCTATTCTGGATGTTTCATAGGGATGGAATCATAAAATATGGCCTTTTGTGTCTGGCTTCTTTCATTTAGCATAATGTTTTCAATGTTCATCCATGTTATAGCATGTATCAGTACTTCATTACTTTTCGTAGCCAAATAATATTCTATACAGATAAACTACGTTTTGTTCATTGGACATATGGGCTATTTTCATCTTCTGTCTCTTATAAATAATGCTGCTATAAACGTTCATGTACAAGTTGTTTATGTGGACATATATTTTCATTTCTCTTGGGTACATTCCTGGGAGTGTAATTGCTGGGTCATATGGTAACTCTGTGTTTAATCATTTGAGGAATGGCCAAACTGTTTTTCAAAGCAGCTACACCATTTTACCCACCAGCACTGTATGAGGGTCCCTGTTTTTCCACATCCTTGCCAGCTCTTGTTATTTGACTTTTTGGATCTAGCTATCCTAGTGAGTGTGAAGTGGTATCTCATTATAATTTGTTTTTCTCTGATGACTAATGATGTCAAGCATCTTTCATCTGCCCATTGGCCATTTGTATATCTTCTTTGGTGAAATGTCTATTTACATCTTTTTGCCCATTTTTTTTAATTGGGTTAAACTAAGGGAGGGGGGAACAGTTTCCACTATTGTAACTAAAACTATGGAAAGTCCTGTAAAATGTGCTTTTTGAGAAAGAGAACATGTGTTTGGGGAAATACTGAAGATGTTATTTACATTTTCCTCTTTTAGGAAATAACCACAGGTGAACATACCCAAGATGAACCAGGTAACTGTTAACAAGAAAACTTCTGAAACTTTTTGGTTAACACTAGCATGGTGATTTAATATTGGTGATAGTAAATGAGTTAGTTTGCTGGAGAGTTGAACAAAAAATTCAGGTGTTGAATATGTTATATCTGTGAGAAACTTGGAATCTTGGAATGCTACTTTAGAAGGTGAGTTAAGAGTTAAATGTTTAGTAAAGAAGTATTTGTTGAACATTTCTTCTGGGTCTGCACAGTTGTGAGCATTTTCTTTGAAGGTATTATTTAACGGACGGGTGGTATTTTCAGTGAGCAAAAGCCAACAATATATTTTTTTTATTCGTAGTATATAACCTGAGCAAAACACTACCCCAATAAGGGAATAGTGGTACAGAGGCTATTTAAACCTATTACTAGAAGATGAACACCTGAATTAAAAATCCTTTTTAAATAAACAAATATCCAGACATATTCTTCTGTTTTAATGTTGGTATATTTCCTCATAAGGTACCAATGATGGAAGCACTGAAGCTGCCATAACTTTACTTGCAATGGGAGATCTAGTATTGCAGTCAGAGATCAGTACTGAACAGGGTGATGGTAAGAATGGACAATAAGTCCTACCAAAAAAAGAAACTTTTAAAATCTAACCTTTAAGAAATTATACCTATGTTTGAGTAATAAGCCTTTTACATTTGAAGTTGTCATCACTTTGTTATTTTTTCAGAAAGTAATGTGCGTGTATTGATCCATCCACTGTTTTACATAGCCCTTTTAGGTGTAGTGGCAACCATTTTGAGATTAGTAAACTTGGTTTATCAAGAATGATTATTATTCATGGAATAGTTGACCTAGTGAATCTTCTGCCTTTATCATCATAAACATCATTGGTGAACTAAGCTCATTGATCACTGATCACTTTTTCTTTAGCAAATGAATTACTGCTTGGGATGGTCTTCACAAATAAGTGACAAATACAGTATGAAGGGGCAGTAGTAGTCATTGAGATAATTTAGTTTAAACTGTTCTGATAGTTTGGACAGAGCCAAAAGATGTGTCTACCCAGATTTTTATAGAGAGAAAGTATGGTCTTTACTATCTCAGTATCTTTAACTTCATTAAATGGATAATTGTGCTACTCGTATTCCTGGTAGTTCTTTTGACTGATGATGAGTGGCCTGCTATTCATTTTAGGTGTTAGATTTTTTATAACTGTATATTTATCAGGAAGGTCTCTGATTGGTGTTCCATATAGGGCTCCTTTCTCAATGGCAGAGTGTTGCAGTAGAGCTTGGCACAAATATCTAGAACATAAAATTCAGTTTTAAAAATATTATAGGGCCAGCCCCGTGGCGCACTCGGGTGAGTGCAGCGCTTGGGAGCGCAGTGGTGCTCCTGCCGCGGGTTCGGACCCTATATAAGGATGGCCGGTGTGCTCACTGGCTGAGTGTCGTGCGGGCTACACCGGCCGAGGGTTGCGATCCCCTTACCGGTCACAAAAAAAATAAAAAAATAAATTAAAAAAAAAAATTATAAATGAAGGCATTTCTATCTTGAAATCTATCTGAGGTTATCTAATTACTGAAAGTAACAGAGGACTTTTTTTTTTTTTTTTTTTTTACTTATAATAGTACAATGTTTCAGTGTTTCAGTCTGTAAGGATTTTTAAGCTCACAATAGGTGAAATTCCTGGCATGAAATATGAAATTATAAATTTTAATTTGGGGCCGGCCAGGTGGCACACTGCTACAGTGCGCCGCTTGGGAAGCGTGGCGGCGCTCCCGCCGAGGGTTCGGATCCCACATACAGACCGGTTCCCGCTCACTGGCTGAGCGAGGTGCGGGTGCAGCACCGAGGTTTGCGATCCCGTTGCCGGTCCCCGGTCCGGTACAGGCGGGACACTGAAGGTTGCGATCCGTTGCCGGACACGAAAAAAAGACAAAAAGGAAAAAAAAAATAAAATAAAATAAATTTTAATTTGAAGCCAAAAAGAGAACTTTAATAATAATATAGAATTTTACAATTACTGAATGTTGAAGTATTTATTTTATTTGGACATTTATTTATATTGGGTTGATTTTAATTTTCTGTTTTTTTCCTGTGGTAGGAATATGTGTACTTCCTCATGTTCATTCAGAGGATAAAAGCCACGTTCCGTTTAGCCCAGATAATGTAAATCACAAAATTGTTCATGAATGTCAGGAGCTGTCTTCACCTGCCGCTAGTACCTCGACTGCATCAGTTGAAGTAAACAAGGTTGTATTGGAGGAACAAAGTACTAGAGAAGAAATTGGTTTAATGGAGAAAGTAAAGGAGAACTCTACACCAACCAGGTTTATTTTAGTATTCAATTAATAAATATAATTAAGCCTACCATCAATTTAGTTAATAACTTTGAGTAATGCTTTTATAAATGTAAAGTAAGCAGTGCTAATTTCTCACCCTTTAAAGTAAAAATTGGCTGATTTTGATTATAGTTTAAAGGCTTGCATATCAAAATTATAGCTGTATGTGTTGCATGTCTTTGAAGCTTTAATAAAAGAGATTTATAAAAATATAGTCTCTGTTTTGCAAATATGGTCCAGATTCTCTTCTCTTCTCAAGATCTATAGTAAAATTACTACATTGTAATTTTAGCATTAAGAAATGAACACTTGGAGATAATGTGGCACCTGACAGGTGGCACATTAACTGTGTTAGTGCTAGACTGTATCAATGTGAGAGAGCAAGACAGAATTCTTATATGTTGATAAATTTCTCTTCCCATTTTTCTGTTTCTAGGGATGCAACTTCTAAAGTGACCAATAATTTGAACATGAGAAGTAGATTTGCCAAGCCTAAACCAAATCTTGAGAAGACTTTAGGGACCAACAGATTTGGTGTTCATCAAGAAGTTCCCATTTTGTGTGTAACCAAAGAAGAAGTAGAAAGTAAAGGAGGTAAATTTTATGGTTCTCTTACAAGTTACAAAGTTACTTTGACACAAGAAATGGTGTTAGTATTTCAAAGGAATATTGTCATTAGATTTTTTTTAACTTACTGTAAAAAAGTTTCAAACATACCAAAAGTAAAATGAGCTATAAAGTATCCTAAATCCACCAACTGATTTTAGTAATTAGTATCATTTTGCTCTATTTACTTCATCAGTCTTTTTCTTTTTCTTTTTTTTTTTTCCCTTTTTGTCTTTTCTCGTGACTGGTAACGGATCGCAACCCTCAGTGTCGTGCCCGTACCGGACCGGGACCGGCAACGGGATCGCAACCCTCGGTGTTGCTCCCGCACCTCACTCAGCCAGTGAGCGGCCGGTCTGTATGTGGGATCTGAACCCTCGGCGGGAGCGCCACCGCGCTTCCCAAGCGGCACACTGTAGCAGTGCGCCACCGGGCCGGCCCAGTCTTTTTCTTTATATATGAGGGATCTTCAAAAGTTCATGGTAAGATTTGTATTATCTTTTACTTCTGTTTTTCCATGAACTTTTTGAAGTACCCTTGTGTATGTGTGTGTGAATTAGAAAGGTATACATACATTCATGCAGTGCATGTGGCAAAAACTAAGTGCCCAAAAGGCATGAAATTATTCTTTTTTTATTTTATTTTTTTGCGGCTGGCCAGTACAGGGACCAAACCTTCGACCTACATGTTATCGGCACCATGCTGTAACCAATTGAGCTAAAAGGCCAGCCCTGAAACGCATAAAATTAAAAAGAAATCAAAACTCCCTTCTTCCTTGGTTCCCAGCTCCCTAGTCCCACTTCTCATGGTAAACTGCCGTTAGCAGTTTTTTATTGTAGACTTCCAGAAATGTTTTATACACATACAGTATAAGCATCTAAATGAGGGTGTAGGTGTGTGGACACGCCCACATATATTCATATATAAAAATGCATACATATGTGCACACACTACCTATACATGTGTGTATGAATATACACATGTATTCCTTTCAGAAAGAACAAAAATATATGCATATTATGTCATATATACTGTTCAGCACTTTTCAAAATAACAGCTTTATTATGATATAACCTGCACACTATACAATTCACCCATTTAAAGTGTACAATTCGGGCCGGCCCCATGGCGCACTCAGGAGAGTGCGGCGCTGGGAGTGCAGCGACGCTCCCGCCGCGGGTTTGGATCCTATATAGGGATGGCCGGTGCGTTCACTGGCTGAGCGCGGTGTGGGCGACACCACGCCAAGGGTTGCGATCCCCTTACCGGTCATGAAAAAGACAAAAAAATAAAAAAGTGTACAATTCAGCGGTGTTTAATATATCCCCCAAAATGTATAACCACCACCATTCGCAGTCACTCACCATTTCCCCCAACTCTAGGCAACCACTATTCTACTTTTTGTCTCTATAAGATCTGCCTATTCTGGATATTTCATATAAATGGAATCACATAATACATAGTCTTTTGAGTCTGATTTCTTTCATTTCACATAATGTTCTCAAGGTTCATCTATATTGTAGCATGTATCAAATACTTCATTTATTTTTATTGCTAAATAGTATTCCACTGTATAGGATATACTCTATTTGCTTATCCGTTCGTCTGTTGATGTGCACTTGGGGTGTTTTACCTTTGGCTAAAATGCTGCTAAGATCATTCATGTCTATGTTTTTGTGTGGACATAGTTTTCATTTCTCTTGGACTTATACCTACAAGTAGAATTGCTGGGTCATATAGTAATTCTGTGCTTAACTTTTTGAGGATCTGCCAAACTGTTTTCAAGAGTGGTAGCATCATTCTATATTTTTTACCAGCAATCTGTGAGTTTACATGTCAGTTTCTTAACATCCTCCCGGACACTTTTTGTTATTTTTCTTTTGGATTATAGCTGTCTTTAATGTGAAGTGGTATTTCATTGTGGTTTTGATTTGCATTTCCCTGATGGTTAATGATGTTCAGTATCTTTTCATGTGCTAATTTGTGTATCTTCTTTAGAGAAATATCTGTTCAGATCTGTGCTTATTTTTAAAATTGGTTTATTCGTCTTTTTATTATTACGTTTTAACAGTTCTTTATATAGTAGTACCATGTGTTTTTAAAGCTTGATATAGTAAAAAAAAATTTTCCATATGATCACATGGCACTCTATTTAATTTTTTAAATAGGCCTACTATGTTGTGATGTTTATGTTGACTCCTTAGTCTCACCTTTTTTCTACTTCCCTTCCTTACCAAAAGGCTCAATCCCATAGGGTGATAGTAAGTGTAGGAAAAACAGTGCAAGCAGCTTTTAGATTAGATTAGATTGAATTTAGATAATGCTAACTATCCAGATCTTCTTATCCCTGTTGTGGGGTTCCTGATTTCTGGGATTTCTTTTCAGCCAGCAAAGCCTGTGGTACACTGTGCATATGCAGTTAGTTAATTCATTATTAATGCTGGCTTGAACAGTATCCAGAAGCTTTCTCAGTGTGTAGGCTCAAATTACCTCTTTTCTATAGAAGTCTTTTTCTTTCCCTTTGTGACGTTATTCTTTGTAGCTCCAGCCAGACTTCATGTGTACCCACCCCTAAATCTCTTTTGTATATGGATTTCTAATTATAGTGCTATTTACCATAGATTGGAGATACAATTGCTTTTGCAGCCAGGAGTGAAATATATGCAGTATAGGATTCATTAATCATCTATTTAACTGTTCAGAAATCTCACTGTCCAGGACCACCCTTGTGCCATATGAATAAACTTGATTTTTTTTTAAAGAGAAATTTGGAAGAGTCACTGTATAGTCATCTGTCTTTTAAGAGGGAAGGAATGTTTCTAATATGAAGTTTTTAGCTGTACTATTTTGAACTGTATCTTAAATGTGTTTTTTATTTAAGAAACTGAAAAAAATGCTTGCAAAGCAACAAAATTAGAAGATAAAAACCTTGGACCAGTTACAACAGCAGACAGTAAGGATCAGAACAAATTGGCATGTGTACATGGTATCAAAGGGACCAGTATTTCACAAGAAGCAAACCTAACTGAAAGGTAAAAGTGGGAAGAGATTCTGGGATTCTGTTTCAGCAGTAGCCATAAGCTGTAGCTGTAAGAATTTGATTGAAAAAAGTTATTTTGCATTAAATGTATTTTAATAGTTTGAAAACCATTGAATTAGATGATCTTTGATGCACCTAGCTCAAAAATAATTCTATGGCTACTTGCCTGATTTCAAATAACATACTAAAACTGTCTTTCAGAAATGAAAATCAAGAAGAGGGATCTCAAGAAGTTCAGATATTGTCAGTTGCTCCAATTGTTCCCTCTGAAACAGGATCCCACTCATTTGGTTTGGGTAGGGGTCTCAGTGAGAGTTCTGTTGAAGAGCCCCTAACAACGGACTCTAAAAGAGACAGTGTGCTTACACTTCATGTGCCAGAGGTAACAGAATGTAAAATATAACAAGGGATAGCAAGGTGTTTGTTCCCCATTAAAAAAAAAAAGTAAAATATAAATTACTTGCAATAAACTTGATCCTTTTTAGTATTGTGTAAGTTTTTACCAGTATATATAGTCATGTAACCAATACATGAATGGTTCTGTCACCCCAAAATTCCCTGGTGCCCTTTTGTAGTCACCTTCTCTTCCTACCCCCAGCCTCTGAAAACCACTGATTCATTTTCTTTCCCTATAGTTTTACTTTTGCAAGACTGTTCATGACATGTTCAGGGACTATAAGTACATTGTGAGTGGAATATAACTGAAGAAAGTGGTTAGAGATGAAGTTATAAAGATAGCCTGCAGACATATAATAAAACAATTTTTAAGATTTGCTAAGGAGTTTGGCCACATCTAAAGTTATGAGATCCCCACCCCCCCATCTTTTTATTTATGTATCTATTTATTTATTTTGAGGCTGGCCTGTACAGGGATCTGAACCCTTGACCTTGGTGTTGTAACACTGTGCTCTAACCAAGTGAGCTAACCAGTCAGCCCAGCCCCCCAACTTTTTGAACCTTATTCTTTATTTTGAAGTAATTTCAAACTTAAAGAAAAGTTACAAGAGTCTTACAAAGAACTCTCCCATATCCTTTACTTGGATTCATTTAATTGTTCTTTTACTTGGATTCATTGAATTGTTAACATGTTGCTTCATTTATTTTCTCTCTATCTTGCTGTCCATCTCTGTAGATGGATACTTTTAATAACAGAGCCATCTCAAAGTAAGTTGCAGATATGAACCTTCACCCCTAAGTACCCCATCTTGTATCTAATAAGAAAAGGACATTCTCTTACAGAAAATTATCTTATTGCTAAACTCAGTATTACTATACTATTTTACATCATAGCAGGGACATACAATGTCAATTTGTCCCATTATTGGTGATGCTAACTGCACTTGGCTAGAATGGTGCCTGCCAAAATTCTCCATTATAATGGCATCTTTTCCCCTTTGTTTTAGTAAGTAATTTGTCAAGTGAGACCCAGCAACCTATCACCCAATAGTTTTAGTATCCATTGATGATTCTTACCCGAATTAATTATTGATATTGTTGGTTGCAAAATGAAAGTTTTAAGGCTGGCTGGTTAGCTCAGTTGGTTAGAGCATGGCAAAATGAAAGTTTTAAGATTTTAAGCCGTAGAGAATTATCAGGATTGCATGGAGAAAAAAGCGATGTTTGCAGTTTTGTGAAAAACAGGTTGGAGGGAACTGTGCTAGAGGCAAGGAGAGTAGCTTGCTTCCATTCGTGTGTCACCTACTAAAAGTATAGTGGCTGGTGAGATGGGAATAGAGAGAAGGGTGAGGGGTTTGAGTCTCATCCTGTCACTTCAAAAATCATTTCATAGAATACACATATGTAAAAATTTAGTCAGGATTCTTTGTATTTATGTTTATTTGAATGAATCAAAAGTTTATTGGCACAGCTAAAAGTTTCAAAACACTTGAAAAATTGCATATGGTTACATAAGTCATTGAGTTTTGAAATGTCTCTTCGCTATATCAAATTGTCAAGAAATTTTTTTAAAACTAAGATCTGGCCAACCTTATTCTTTCATTTTAATTTTTTATGGCAGTGTACACCAACTAGTATTTCAGAAGTCCAACAAGAGAATGTAATCAATCCTCAAGACCTAACAGGTATGATAATCTGCTTTAGTGAAGTGTCATAGAACCTGTTGGTATGATGTTTACCCCTCATTTAATTATGGAAAAACACAGCACAGGTTTTTTTTTAGTCTATGGTGACCTTGAATTAAAAAAATAAATAAGTAAAATAATATTTTGTATATCAGTTTTGTTATTCAGAATTAAAGTCTTCTTCATAATATATTATCTTTATCCTTATGAAATTACTTTCTTTTTGGTTTAGTTTAGTTTCTTTGTCTTGGTGATGAATTGTCATGAGACTGTCTTTTTAGAAATGAAATAAATTAATGATTTTCTATCATTTCATAGTTCAGCTTTTCGTTACTAACTTTTGAACTTTGATAGTGAATCTAGTTGCTAATGTACACCAAGATGGAGAGGATGAACAAGCATTCATTTTAACTCTGGTGGAAATCCCAACCTGTGCGGTAGAAGGATTTACTGATGCTGCCACACAGTTAATGCCAAACGCTTTACTGCCAGCACCCATATTGATCAAATCAGTGAATAATGAAGAAAGGGAGGATGACATGAGGTAATGAATGAGCTATACTTTTTGCTAGGAGGAAAGGTGCTTTATGAATTGACTATAGTTGATTCAACAAGCTGTTTACCAACATAATTTGTAATTGTTGTGGAGATCTTATTTAGTAATTATGTGGTAACTTAGAGAAGAAATGTAATGTGGTTGATTTTTATATCTGGTAAAGATGCCATTTAAATGTGTAATATAATTCTTTTGTATGAAACTTGTTTTAAGTTATTTTGAAAGCCAAAAAGTTTAGCAGTCTGGATCATAAAGTGACACCTGTTAAAAGTGTAGTTACTTTGTTGTATCTCACACACACACACACAACTCTGAAATATATATTCAGAGAAAGTTGCAAAAAATAGTGCAGAAAGCTAACATTTTTATATATTCTTGATACTCATATTTTAATTCTTTATTGTAGAAATATTAAGTTGTATTTTAACTGCCATTGGTTAGACACTTAATTGTTTGTCAAGTAGCATTAGAAATTGAAGCCTTTTATGTTAGGAAGGGACATTTTAGATTGAAAGTTTAGCTTTACAGACAAGGAAAATACCTCAGACTATTATGTAATTTAAGTAGTGAGCCTTTAAGTATGAATGGAGCTCAAAACTAGCATTTTTATGACTGTGGCCATGTATATGAGTTTGGAGTTTTTTTTATTTCACTAGAATTTTCATTGGAATAGCTCAGCTTCAATTTCATTAAGTAACTTCTAATTCAGTGATTTAATATGTATTCATTTTCTATGCAGTGTGAATTTACCAGTAGCTTCAGTTGGCCAGGATGCCATGTGGTTATCTGATTCTGAAAAGCCTGCTGCTGATTTGGATATTATATCTAGGAAGAGATTTCATTGTAGGCTTGATGAATGTGACCATGTTCCTCCTGCCAAAAAAAGTTCACTCAATTCAAGAGATGATTGTCAAGAGTATACCTCCAAGGTAAGATAGAATTATTAAACAAGTAAGATGGCCATATTGCAGCAAATCTGTTTCTATTTTTTCTTTTAGACTCCTTCAACTTTTAGATATGTATATAAAGAGAGTTCTGATACTTTTCATCATAAATAATCCAGGTAAAACCAGTTTTGGATTATCACTCTCAACTAGTTCTTGGTGAAAACTGATGGATGTTAGTCAGCTCTGTCACAGCCAGCTCTATGACAGTGGCTAAAAATAAGGCTAAAAGCATCATACAGGTCTGAATCTTGCCTGTACCACCTGATAGCTGTGTGACCTTGGGCAAGATCTTTCATCTTTCTGAATGAGTTTCCTGCTGGGTAAAATACCAATAGTGATATCATCATCATAATGCTTATAGCTTCCTATTGCTCTTAGGAATAAAACCAGAGCCTCTAAGGCCCTATATGGTCTGTCCCATTTCTGTCTCATTTCTCATTTTGTGCTAGTCTCTGCATTATTTTCTAATCACATTGGCCATCTTTCAGATCCTTCATATCCCAGGGCATTTTATTTGCTGTCCCTTCTGTATGAAACATTCCTTTGCAAAGCATAAAAACTTCTTTAGCTTAGTCATCACTGCCTCAGAGAAGTCTGACCAGATTATGCAGATTCAATTACTAGCCACTGTGTTGTAGTTTTCCTAGTACCCTCTTGCTTTTGTTTCTGGTACTCATCATAATTTGTAACTATACTGTGGAAAAGCCAATTTAGAATCTGTATTCTCAAAGGGAAAGTTGAGGACCCTTGGAGATAGCAGACTCAGAGGCAGTGTACTCTCATATATAATGGTAGGTAAAAAATGGTATCCCAGAATAGTTTTAATTTCTCTTATTATGGGTGAGATTGGGTATCTTTTCATATGCTTAAGAGCCTTTTGGGGCTGGCTGGTTAGCTCAGAGCACAGTGCTGGTAACACCACGGTCCAGGGTTTGATCTCTGTACCAGTCAGCCACTACCAAAAAAAAAAAGCCATTTTTATATCCTTTTCTGTGAAATGACTCCTTTTTTTCTTCACCCATTTTTCAGTTGGGCTGTTGATCTTTTTCTTATAGAGCTAGAGATCTCCCTGTTATACATGTGTCTGTGATAATAAGCTGCAAATATTTTTTCCCAGTTTGTTGTCTTTTGACTGTGCTTTTTGTGGTTTTCTTATGCAGATTTTTAAAATTAACTTTTTAGTATGAAAATTTTCAAACATATAAAAAGATAGGCAGATTACTATAATGTACCCCCACTTACCAGTCACCCAGTTTCAATAATTTGTCAGCATTCCATGCAGGCATTGTTTTATTTTGAAGTATGTTTAATGACATGGAAAAAAGATATGTACATTACTGAATACAGAACTAGGTCAACAAATTAAAATATGCCATTTAAAAAATGATAGATGTACAATGGTGTGAATATGTAAGAAAAGTGTGATGTCTTTTAGGTTATTTGTATATTTGTTTTCTAAATGTTTTTAGCATCTTAATAAAATTGCTTGTACAAAATTCTAGAGTGCACACACTGCATTCAGATAGGCATACAGACATTTTTTAGTTTTCTGTAATCCAGATGTATCAGTCTTTTTGTATATGGCTTATCAGGATTATGTTATACATTGAAAGTCCTTCCTTGAGATTTAAAATAAATTTTCTAGTTTAATATTATTGATTTGTCTAGAATTTATTTTGGTATAAGGAATAGGGCCAACTTAATTTTCCCCGGATATCTTTCACCATTCATCAGTGGAAAAAATTCATCTTTTTTCCACTGATGCGAAATTCTACTTTTGTCAGATATTACATCTCCATATGTGTTTGGATATATTCCTGAACTTTCTTTTCTTTTATGTTGATTCACCTATTTGTTCTGTGGCCAGTGTGACACTGTTTTAATTTAGCTTTATAGTGTGCTTTAGTATCTTATTAGGGATATTATCTCCTCTAACCCCATATAATTTTTTCTTTTTTCAGGTTTTTCTTCATCACTTATATGTTCTCAAATTTATATGGAGTTTTAGAATTAACTAGTTTAGATTTTTAAAAATTTTATTAGTATTAGAATCATATATATATATTTTAATTTTTATTGAATCATAAATGGTTATACATATTTTGGGGGTTCAATGTTGACATATGTTGATCAAATCAATATTACTAGTATACATATTGTTACAAATCAAATATTCTTCTTCTTCTTTTTTTTTTTTTGAAGATGACTGGTAAACGGGCCGGCCCGGTGGTGCACTGGATAAGTGCGCCGCTTGGGAAGCGCGGCGGCGCTCCCGCCCAAGGGTTCGGATCCCACATACAGACCGGTTCCCACTCACTGGCTGAGCGAGGCGCGGGGGCAGTGCCGGGGGTTGCAATCCCGTTGCCGGTCCCCGGTCCGGTACGGGGCAACACTGAGGGTTGCGATCCTTATTCTTATTCTTTGTGACCCTTGTTCAATCTCCCTATTTCCCTCTCCCTCCCCTCTCCCCACTCTGATAACCCTAGATTTCTTCTCTCCCTCTGAAACAGTCATGGTTACTCTATTGGTTTGTTGCCTAGATGATCTGTTCAATGTCGAAAGGTGTGTTCAGGTCCCCCAGTACTGTCGTAGAGCAGATGCTTTTTCTGTCACTCTGGAATGGGCTTTGTGGAGAGAGACATCCTCTTCTTTTCTTTGGTCTCCTCTGGTGACTCTCTTTGTGTCAGTGCACTCCAGTGGCTGGTAGATCATCTGCGAGGTGGCTGTGGTGTGTAGCCACTTTCAGGGCAGCTGTGGTTATTGTGGTGGCTGTTGTGGGCCACCCACATGGAGGTGATGTTTTTGGTATGCTCCTTGGTGGTGGTGGTGTGCCTGGTTGTGTTGGGGGGTCTGGTACCCAGCTCCATGCCTCAGGTCCCTGGGCAGGCCCTGAGGCACTGGCATTGTGCCTGGTTGGGCGGGGGGGGGGTGTCCAGCGTCAGGCTTCATGCCTCAGATCCCTGGGCAGGCCCTGAGACACTGGTGGTGTGCCTGGTTGTTGGGGGGAGGGGGTCCAGTCCCTGGCTCCACTAGGCAGTGGTGGAGAATCATATTAACTTGATGGATTAACTTAGGGAAAATTGAAACCATGATTATGATATTGAATCTTCCTGCCCCAAAATATGGTATATCCTTTCATTTGTTTAAGTCTTATTTTGGGTCTTTCAATTTTATTTTAAGCTCTTCTTCATATAGATTTTATATATTTCTTACGAGGTTATCCCTAAGAATTATATCTTTTTGATGATAAAATTTTATTGAGTTGCTTTCTACCTAGAGAGCTTACTGAATTCCCTCATTGTGTGCAGTAATTTTTCATTTGATTCTCTTGGATTTTGTAGATAAATACAATATCATATATGCAAATGTAATTCTAATTTTTCTCTTCTGTTTATAGTTCTGATTTTTCTTTTTAATTATATTGGCTAATATAACTCAAGAACAAGGTTAGAAAGTAGTCCCAATAGTACATATCTTTTTTTGTTTTTTGCTGGCCAGCACAGGGATCAAATCCTAGATCTTGGTGTTATCAGTAGCACCCTCTAACCAAATGAGCTAACTGGCCGGCTCTTTTTCTGATTCCTGATTTTAATGGGAATACTTCTAGTGTTTATTATGTGGGATGCTGGCTTTTGGATTGTGATAGTTATATTTTATGATGTTAAGAAAAATGAATATTATTGGATACCTTTCCTGCAAATAGATATGATATTTCTTCTCAGATTTGTTGAATTATATTAGATTTCATAATATTGAATCATCTTTGCATTCCTGAATCAAACTGCTTGGTCATGATGTATTATTCTTTTGATGTGCTGCTTGTAATATTTCATTCGATTTTTTTTTTCCCCTTTTTTTGTCTTTTTTTGTGACCGGTAACGGGATCGCAACCCTCAGTGTCGCGCCCGTACCGCGACCGGCAACGGGATCGCAACCCTCGGTGTCGTGCCCGCACCGCGCTCAACCAGTGAGCGGACCGGTCTCTATATGGGATCCGAACCCTCGGTGGGAGCGCTGCCGCTCTCCCAAGCGCCGCACTCTACCGAGTGCGCCACCGGGCCGGCCCTTCATTCGATATTTTTGCACTGATGTTAAGTGAGGCTGATTAGTCAATATCAATATTATGCATTATTTATAAAAGGCATTTGGTAGCTTTCTCTCTTCTACTGTGCTCTAGGACAATTGAAATGACAGTAACCATATCTTTTTCCATAAATGTTTAGGAGAATTCCTATAAAACATGTCTGACTCTAGAGCTTTCTGGGAGATATGTGGTTTCTTAAAGAAAAAAGAAAGGAAGAAAATATAATTTTCATTTTACTTGATAAACAGATTTCTAAATTTTTTGTTTTTTTACAACAGGTGTGTTCAGAGGAATTAACAGATATTTTTGAGGAAACAGGTGAGTGAAATAAAGTTTAATATGATTGCATTTTGCTAAGTACACTTTATTATTTTTGATGTGTCTTCTTCAAATATGAGAGTAAAGCAGAGTCTTTCTCAGTTTTCTGTAAGAGTAATACTTACATTATTAGTGTTTGTCTTCCCTTGTAAGGCCTTGGTATTGGCACTTTGCTAAGCCAAAATAAGCGCCTTCATTCTGTAATCAGTAGGGAATCATACAGTTATAAGGATTTTCTGTAAAAGCTCAACAGCTACAGTTCAGGATTTAGAAAGCTGAGTATAAAGGCAGTTTTTTTTAAAAAAATAGGTCCTTAACTTTACCCTGAGAATTAGTTTAGTACTAGAGATCTTTTCAGGCTTAAGCCACCTATAGAGGCTCCAGAGATCTTGGAGTCTTATATTTATATAGGAATTTCAAATTTCTGTGGGCTATTAAACCATTTAGGGTCTATTTTCCTCAGAACTAAGGCAGCCAGGGGTGGCTGGTTAGCTCAGTTGGTTAAAGTGCAGTGTTAACAACACCAAGGTCAAAGGTTCAAATCCCTGTACCAGCCAGCAGCCCAAAAGAAAAAAAAGAAGGAAAAAAAAAAAAGAAAGAAAGAACTAAGGCAGCCAGTCACATTTATTCTGTATTTTGCACACCTCTTTGTTTTCATTTCTTTTATATTATTCTGTTTTTCTTGTAAACTTTGCTGTGCCATAGGCTTGTCAGTCTCATCTACAGCCGTTGCTTAACTATGATAATGTCACTCAAGAACTTAAAAAAGATATACAGATTCAATGCAATCCCCATCAAAATTCCAATGACATTTTTTCAGAAATGGAAAAAACTATCCAGACATTTATATGGAATAACAAAAGACCATGCATAGACAAAGCAATTCAGAGCAAAAAAAATAAAGCTGGAGGCATAACATTGCCTGACTTTAAATTATTCTACAAAGCTATAATAACCAAAACAGCATGGTACTGGCATAAAAACAGACACACCGATCAATGGAATAGAACAGAGAATCCAGAAATCACCCCACACACCTACAGCCATCTGATCTTTGACAAAGGCATCAAGCCTATACACTGGGGAAGAGACTGCCTCTTCAGCAAATGGTGCCGGGATAACTAGATATCCATATGCAGGAGAATGAAATTAGACCCATACCTCTCACGTAAATCAACTCAAAGTGGATTAAAGAATTAAATATACACCCTGAAACAATAAAACTTCTTAAAGAAAACATAGGAGAAACACTTCAGGAAGTAGGACTGGGCACAGACTTCATGAATACGACCCCAAAAGCATGGGCAACCAAAGGAAAAATAAATAAATGGGATTATATCAAACTAAAAAGCTTTGGCCCAGCAAAAGAAACAATTAACAGAATTAAAAGACCACCAACAGAGTGGGAGAAAATATTTGCAAGATATACATCTGACAAAGGGTTAATATCCAGAATATACAAGGAACTGAAACAACTTTACAACAAAAAATCAAGTAACCCAATTAAAAAATGGGCAAAAGAGCTAAATGGCATTTCTCAAAGGAAGATATACAAATGGCCAACAGACACATGAAAAAATGCTCAACATCACTCAGCATTTGGGAAATGTAGATCAAAACCACACTGAGATACCATCTCACCCCAGTTAGGATGGCTAATATCCAAAAGACTGTGAATGACAAATGCTGGCGAGGTTTCGGAGAAAAAGGAACTCTCATACATTGTTGGTGGGACTGCAAAATGGTGCAGCTTCTATGGAAAATGGTATGGAGGTTCCTCCAACAATTGCAGATAGATCTACCATATAACCCAGCTATCCCACTGCTGGGAATATACCCAGAGGAATGGACATCATCAAGTCGAAGGTATACCTGTTCCCAAGTGTTCATCGCAGCACTCTTTACAATAGCCAAGAGTTGGAACCAGCCCAAATGTCCATCATCAGATGAGTGGTTATGGAAAATGTGGTATATGTACACAATGGAATACTACTATGCTATAAAAACGAATGAAATACTGCCATTTGCAAAAACATGGATGGACCTAGAGAGAATTATATTAAGTGAAACAAGTCAGGCACAGGAAGAGAAATATCACATGTTCTCACTTATTTGTGGGAGCTAAAATAAATAAATATATACACAGATAAACTGGGTGGGGGTGAGGGAAGAAGACACAACAATTACAATTCCTTGAAGTTGATATGACAAGCGAACAGATATGAGGTTGTTGGGAGGGAGTGGGGATAGGGAGGATGGAGGGAGGTTTCAGTAATGGGGCACAATAATCAACCACATTTTATATTGACAAAATAAAATAAAATTTAAAAAACTTAAAAAAAGTTGCTGATAGCATCTTACAGAATTAGAGATACAGGATGGAAGGATTTGATAACCTATGATGGTTCTGGTTTTTTAAAACAGTTATAATGTTAATACAAGGGCAAAGACTTAATCTCAGTTGTCCCAATGCTGTGAAACTGTATATGGTTACAGTCTCCAGTCTCTAGAAATATCCTAAGATTTCTCCCATCCATCTCCTCTCCAGAAAAAGCATTAAACAAATCACAGCACATTGAAGTATTAGTGAATATGTTATATACCATCTTTAATGGGGTTTTTTCTAGTAGGTATACTTAACCAACTTTATTTAGCCTTCATGGAAGCTAAATGATCTCATTGGGAACACGGCCTTAAAACCAGGTATCCTCAGGGAAAATGTTTTTTATTTAACAATAAATGTCTCATTATTTTGTCCTAATGCTACTTTTTGTCCTAATTAATTGCTACTTTGGCTTTTTCTACTATTTAGTTAAGGAAAGAGTACTCTTTAGCTAAACTTTAGTGTTTGAGAGTTTGTGGGTTTTGCTCTGCCATGAGACCACACATATCCAGGAGTTAACACCTATATTTTGGGTTGGCCCAGCTTCTGCATTTTAACAAGCCTTAGATTTTTAGAAAATGACCACCCTTTTATTCTGATAGTTCAAGAGATATTTATAGAAAAAGATTTTCTAGAAAATATATTGATATGACTATATCTGAGTGCAGAAGCTGTTACCATAGCTTTCAACTAGTTATAATGTTCTTAATATTTAATAGTCCAAGTAACTCCACTAACTATAATTTAGCTTACTCTTATTAGGATAGGTTTATTATAGAATACCATGTTTTTTTTCCTTCAAATATTGTGATTAAATTCAATGTGTTAATTTCAGTATATGTGCTTACTATTTGCTCTCTTTTTTTGAAGGGGAGTCTTACAAGGAACAAAGTATTTTCCCTACCTCAGGAAGCACACATACAACTCCAGAACCTCAAAAACAGCAACTTGAACCAGGTTTTCAGAGTATAGGATCTAGATCTCTTGATAAATTAATAAATACATGTATAGAAAAGAATATGCCTCAGTTACCTCAGGATGAGATGGTTGTGTCTGATAAGGAAGAAAGAAGTGATGCTGCTTCTAAATCTGAACAAATGGATAGCAGAACATCATCTTCAAAAACCCCACTATCCAGGTATCATGAGAAAATCTTTAATAAATGTCTCTGTCTCTTTCTCTCTCCATGATAAATGTAACCTGTATAGAACAGATATATATATAAAGATTAAATCCAGTACTAAGAATGGTGTATAATAAACATATTCCTTCATCATTAATGTAAAGGGAGGAAGTTTCAGCAAAGTATATAAAGTAATGTTCCGATAAATGCATACAAGAGTTTAACTTCAAATGCTGAAACTTTCACATTTTAGATAGAAAATCTTAAGAATATGTTATTGCATACTTACTTTTCCAGATTGTCAATGGCTATTGTTTTGATCATTTCGTATTCTACCATACAGTAGTTACTAATGCACATATAGATTATAGGAGACATAGGGCTGACATCAGAGGTACCTCTGGAAGTTGTTGTATTGATATCTTGAATAATCATTTTTCTCCCTTGTGGCATATCAAAGAGGTAAACCATAGCTTTTTCCCTATGAGAGTAAGTGTAGAATTTAAGCCCAAAGCCAACTTGTCCAACATTGTTTTCCCCATCCTCTAGAAGTGAGTATTCTGGGTTACTAGTAATTATTGGCTTTTCAGAAGCATTCATAACATTGATAAGATGTTGGTGAGTTGAAGAGGCAGGGGACATACACTAGCCTCCACTAAGGGATAGGAGGGGGGAAAGGACATGTGTAGCTTAATAAGACATATTTAATAAATCTATTGTTTTTGTTATCTAAATTACAGAAAGTAAAGCTCAGCACTATTTTTTCTGGCCTTAGAGATGTGCTGAATGTAGATTGAGGGAAGCATCATGGGGATTTGGATTAAAACAGGTTGAGAAGCAGGGTTCTAGAACAGAGGTCAGCAAACTTTTTTTGTAAAAGGGCATATAGTACATATTTTAGGCTTTATATGCCGTATGTTCTCTGTTGCAACGACTCAACTCTGCAGTTATAGCGCAAAAGCAGCCATAAACCATATGTAAACAGATGAGCATGGCTGTGTTCCAGTAAAACTTACAAATATAGGTGGTGGGCTACATTTGGCCTGTGGACCGTAGTTTGCTGACCCTTCCTCCAGAGCCTTACTACTTGAAGTTGTGTTCCTGGGACCGGCAGCATGAACATCATTTGAGAATTTGTTAGAAAGCAAGACTCAGGCCATATCTGCTACCAACTCAATCAAAATCTTTTTTTTTTTTTTTTTTTTTTTTTTTTGTGGCTGGCCAGTAGGGGGATCCAAACCCTTGAGCTTGGTGTTATAAAACTGCTCTGTAACCAACTGAGCTAACTGGCCAGCCTAAAATATTTTAATAAGATCCCCAGGTGATTTATATGCTCTTTTTAAAAAAAAATTTTTAATAGACACCTTGTAATTGTACATATTTATGGGCTAAAATTTGATGCTTCAATACATATATGTTGTATAATGATCCAATCAGGGTATTTATTGTACCCGTCACCACATGCATTTATTATTTCTTGTATGCACTTTTAAGCTTGAGAAGCACTGCTCTAGAGTAAGCCTTAAACCTTTGTCACAAATATGTGTCATGTCATAGTAGTATCAATACTTATAGAGGGGGCCATTTTAGCATTAACAGAAAAGTTAGTATTAAGAATGTATCTTCCTAGATATTCTTGAATATCTTTACATTTGCATTTCTAGGCCTGGCAGAAGACCCCTGGGATTTTTGTCTTTAATATGTTCAAAGAATAGTTTGGAGTCTGATGAACCTACTCAGGTCCATAGTAAGAAGCGCCTAAAACCTCTTATACCTGTATCTAGACAAAGTTTGAAAAGATCTAATAGACTCAGTAAAAGCCAGAAAAAAAGTCAAGAGTCCTCTGATGTTCCTTCTCCAAGTGGTGTTACTAATACTCAATCTGAGAATATTGGCAGTTCAGCAACTCAGGTATGTGATAACTACTATATTCTTTTGTTTGTATAAAATGGGTTGGATAGGGGCCGGCCCGGTGGCGCACTGGATAGTGCGCCGCTTGGGAAGCGCGGCAGCGCTCCCGCCCGAGGGTTCGGATCCCACATACAGACCGGTTCCCGCTCACTGGCTGAGCGAGGCGCGGGAGCAGCGCCGAGGGTTGCGGTCCCGTTGCCGGTCCCCGGTCCGGTGCGGGGGCAACACTGAGGGTTGCTATCCATTGCCGGACATGGAAAAAGACAAAAAGACAAAAAAAAAAAAAAAAAAAATGGGTTGGATATCAGACTCAACTAGAGAAAACATGGTAATTGTTATTTTCATTTGGATGTCAGAAATTATTTCAGAGCAACTCCCATCCATCTCTTCCCCCTCATACCCCTCCCTTCATACTGGAAGAAGATAAGGTGTTGAATTAGGAAGTTACAGCTAGTTTAGTACAAAGCCCTTGTACTAGTCATACATGGACACTTAATTGCCATTCCTTTAACCCAAAGACCCTTCTGACTTGTGAAAGCAAAATGAAGCAGTGCTTCTATTTTATTTGTCTTAGGAGAAATGTCCTGGTACCCTCAAGAATTCAAGAAATTGTAAAACTAGAATTTGTTTGCATGTTTCTTTTTTTTTTTTTTTTTTTGTCTTTTTGTCTTTTTCCGTGTCCGGCAACGGATCGCAACCCTCAGTGTTGCCCCCGTACCGGACCGGGGACCGGCAACGGGATCGCAACCCTCGGTGTTGCTCCCACGCCTCGCTCAGCCAGTGAGCGGGAACCGGTCTGTATGTGGGATCCAAACCCTCGGGCGGGAGCACCACCGCGCTTCCCAAGCGGCGCACTATCCAGTGCACCACCGGGCCGGCCCCAAAATGATCAATTTTTAATAAATCTCAACAACTTAGTTCTCCCATTTTTTAATGTTCAATGTGGGAAGTACACA